AGGAGGAGGATGCAATGCTTGGTAAGAAATGTACGCATTATCCTGCCCATGTAATTGTAACCCCTCTGTACAGTATGTTCACAAATAAAATTAAATTAAATTAAAAAAAGAAAAAGAAAAAAACAGGCTGAAATCAAAGTCAAGGGTAAGCAGGAATTGGAAAGCAAAAGCAAGTTTTATACATCCAACTACTTAGAATCTTTCTACAATATAATGTAACTCATTATTTTGGAAACATAAAACTAATTATGGAAAACTGGGTTTATTACATTGTTGGTAGAAAGTTTAAAGTTTAGAAAGAACCCACAAAATTTAGGGGAATTGTATTTTTAAGACTTTATGAAGCCATATGTACCAAATTCATCTTTCTGAATTAGATTTCATAGTATTCATGTATGGATGTTGTATTTGAGGCACTACAGAAATCAATTATGCACTTATCTATCAGGCACTGTGCTAGGACCAGGAGAAATAGCAAAGTTCTGAGTATTACCTCACTTTCTTCCAAGTAGCAGAGCATGAGTACAGATTTGGAGCCCTACAGAAAGCCCAAGTTCAAATTCTGGATATCTCAAGTATATCCTGACCACAGACAAATTGCTCAAGGGCTCTGTTTTTTCGTATTATCATCAGTAAAATGAGAATGACAGTACTAATTGCCTCGTAGAGTTTTGTAAAACTCTTAAATTAGAAAAAAAACTGTGAATTATTGAAAATTTCATTTCTGTAAAAAAAATCACTTTCGAGATAGAAATGGAGTAGGTCTGAGAGAAAACAAAAAAATAAGGAAAATAATCACAAAGTCCAATTATCAAATGCAGATATATAATGTAATGTACAGTCAAAAAAACATGACCTTTTGAAGGATGAAATACGTAACAAAAAGCAGGAGATACCTTTTGGCTCAAAACTACATTAACATTCTACAGTAGCTCAATACAATTAAATGAGGAAAGACAAACGATGATGACCTGGAAAGCCATAACAGAAGTTTTGGCCCATTATTCAAGTGTTTTTTCAAGAATATTGGATAAGAAATGTATTCATTATCTTGCTTATGCAATTGTAACCCCTCTGTACAGTATTTTCACAATAAAAAACTTAATTAAAAAAAGGTTCTACTTGGTTCTCTTTGAACTTGGGATTGCTCTCCCTGTTGGATAAAACCTCTGAACTGAATCCCCACCTCCTCTCTCAAATGCATACCAGTCATTCTCAACTAAATTGTTAGAATGATGCTCCTAAAACCAAGTGTGGTTGCACGGTGACACCTTGTTCTGCTGACGGCAGAATCTCGCATCCTTCCTAGCCACACACCACTTCACGCTCAGCCCAAGCAGCGGGTTTTCCCTCAGTCGCTTTCCACTTCCCAGGAAACAGACCACTGCATTCCTCGAGCTGACCGACCGGGGGCCATTCGGCATTCACGCCTTGCCACCAGCTGCTCGGCTTACTCAAAGTACTCGAGGTGGCGACGTGTATCTATCTCCCCAGCATCTGGGCTGAGTCGCCAGCTCCTCAAAGCCTCTCTAGCTGGGGACCGCTGGGAAGTGGCGAGACCAGCAGCGTTGGGGCGGGACGCCCCGCCAGCCCGCGCTCCGGAACCCTCCCTCCGCGGGTCATCACTTCTAAAACCCTTTCAAAATGCGTTTCTTCAAGGCCATACCCAGAGAAGCCCACTCCGCCCACAGACGGAGGCTGAGGGACCGGAGGGAAGCGGACCGACCGCTCCCTACCGGAACCTTTACCTCAGCCCCGACTCCCAGTAGTCCATACTGGGGTGAGGTTCGCTAGGCGTTCCTCGACCTGGAGCCAAGATACCAGGAAACAACGCAACACTTACCACAAACACTGCTTCAGGAATCCCCAAGTGAAGCCGCCGCCCGGTCCCCGACGCCACTTCTTCAACGGCAGCACCTTCCTTAGCAGCCGCCATCTTGAGAAAGCGAGCTCCCGATTGACTGCCTTGAGAGCCGTTGGTACCTGGGGTCAGTGATTGGCTCGCCTGACCTAAGGGCCCGCCCCTTTTCTATACGTGCTGATTGGCTGTGAGCAAATGAGTGACAAACGTAGAACGAACTTAAAGGAAAAAGCTGGAACTTCCAGGAAGACCAATAAGGGCTCCAGGGAAAAGCGAACTAGAAGACTTCTTTTGAGAGCCGGCAGATCTAAACCCTGGGAATTTCAGCCACGCTAGATCCCAACTCAACCCAAAGGAGTAACCTCCGGCACGAATCCAATCTTCTCTGGCACTCGACCTAATCTGGCTTGTAGATAAGATAGCTTGATGGGGAAGAGAAGGCTGGGCTTTTCAGGACCAGACATTCGAGAAACTTTCTTGCCCTTTGAAAGGGAACTTGTTTTGGGTCTGTTTCCAGTGGTCCCCTTTAAAAGCAAATTGCAAACCTTGCACTGGTGATTCTCACCTATTATCCTAGCTATTGAGGATCCCTTTCAAAGCCAGCCAATTAACCACCAAAAAGCCAGAACTCGAGGCATGGATCAAATGGTAAAGCACCAGCCTTAAGTGAAAAAGTCAAACAAGAGTGCATCAAAACCCTGAGTTTAAGTCCTAGTACCTGCACACACACAAAAAGAGTGCCCATAGCTTCCAAAATTTTGAATCTCAACAGTATGGAATGCCAAAGTGATTATTTTATTTTGAAGATGTGGATGGTTCAGTTCAGCGTGCAGGAAGATGACCAATTTTTTCCATCTCTGAGTCTGAATCCTTTTGCTTTTGTACCTCTACGTGGACTGCATCTGAGTGAAAGAAAAATAGTTAAGTGAATCTTTAATCATTTCTACATCTTCTTTGTGGTTATAAAATAAATTATGAATGTTTTCATATAGAACTCTGGTCATTTTTTTCTCAGTATCTAATATCTGAAAACTTACTCCTTATAAAACAGATCCAAAAATTGTGGTATCTATATACAATGGAATATTATGCTGCCATTAGAAAGGACAAAATAATGGCATTTGCAGGGAAATGGATGGAACTAGAAGAAATCATGTTGAGTGAGGTAAGCCAAGAACAAAGAGACAAATGGCACATGGTCTCCCCGATAAGTGGATGCTAAATCCAAAAACATGATACGACAAAGTAAACAAGACTGGAGAAACAAAGGACTTCCACTCATCTGGTCGAATCATTACTAAATAACCCCATGCTGCTGACCACATAGATGGTATATATGTGCATACCAAAGGGAAACTAGGAGGAGGACACAGAACTAGAGGGAAACAGGGAAAAACATACAACAGTAGGACCCAGCAGCTTCACTGGCCTAATGAACTAAGCAACTCAATGGCAGCGATGGGAGGGAGGAAATGAGTGGGAAAGAGGGAACAGCTGATGCTATGCAAAAGGAAAGGAATGTACATATCACCCAATGTGGAAGAAATAACAATTGTCAAAGCTCACAGAATTCATAACCTTTATAGGCCACGATAAACAATTTGCCCCATGAAGGTTAGAATGTGTTTGTGACTTTAACTAAGTATCACTGTCCCACAATACTGTGAAATTATGTAATCACTTAATCACAAAGAATTTGCAAAAAAAAATTGAAAAACAAAACAACAAAGGGACAATCCTTATCAGTGTTTCACTGGGAGTTTCCAAGGGAACATAATTAAAAGCTTATTTCCAGAGTCTAAGGTAGTCTATCTGAACCATGCAAAATGGATAATTCATCTCCTGCATCTTACTTCTATAAGTGATGCTGTACCTCAGGGTTCAGCAGGGCTCCTTGAAACTGCGTGAATATGATCGAATTGCCTTCAAAGAGGTTCCACCAGTCTCTCTCCCTACCAAAAATAAGTAAAAACACCTGTTTAATTTGCTTGATTATTTTTTCTGTTGCGTTAAATTATATTGTTATTTTAGGGATACAAAAAAATAGGGCCGGGAAGGTGGTTCAGCAGTAGAGCACTTGCCTCGCATGCATGAGGCCCTGGGTTCTATTCCTCAGCACTACATAAGCAGAAAAGTCCAGAAGTGGCACTGTGGCTCAAGTGGTAGAGCTCTAACCTAAAGCTGAAGAGCTGAGGGACAGCACCCAGGCTCAGAGTTCAGGCCCCACAACCGACAAAAAAAATAAAAGTAAATAAATAAAACAGATTTCAGGAACCTGAGAGACCAACATATCAACTGAAGAAAACAGTATTGCCTGTAATGCTAATATTCTATCCATTATGCGTTCACTAGTTGAAAGTTCGTTCCATCAGCTAGTATTTACTGACCACAAACCTTCTCTCTGAATGTATTATTCCCTCCCTTGGGTGCCTATAGTGCTTTATGCTTATCTCTCTAATTTAATGTTTATATATGTTTACCTGATGGCATCCATTCCCCATTCTTGGCTGACCATCTTTTTTTTTTTTTTGGTCAGTCATGGGCCTGAACTCTGAGCCTGGGCACTGTCCCTCAGCCCTTCAGCTCAAAGCTAGCACTCTACCACTTGAGCCACAGTGCCACTTCTGGCTTTTTCTGCTTATGTGATGCTGAGGAATGGAACCCAGGGCCCCATGCATGCAAGGCAAGCACTCTACCACTGAACTGAGCCACCTTCCCAGCCCATCTACTTTAAATGTTACCATTCAAACTGAGGTACCAGTTTCCTGGGGAGTCTTCCCTGAAATTTCCAGGTTGGATTACTCACCTTCTACACTAATTACAGTTTTATTCAGTTTTTTAACTGAATAAAAAAGGAATGAGCAAAAAGGACTGTTGAAACCAATTGCAGTTTAGCAATACAAAGTTCTCTCTACCAGGTTTACATAGTCCTGTGCCAGTCCTGGGGCTTCAACTCAGGGACTAGGGTACTGTTCCTGAGCTTCTTTTGCTCAAGGCTAGTGCTCTACCACTTGAGCCACAGTGCCACTTCCTGCCTTTTCTAAGTGGTTTATTGGAGATAAAAGTGTCAGGGACTTTTCTATCAAGGCTGGCTTCAAACCACAATCCTCAGCTCTCAGTTACAATTACAGGCATGAGCTACCAGCACCTGGCCTGTGTCTATGATGCACAAAATGCCAGAATTAGTTTTTCTTCTATGAAAGACCAATATTAAGCAAAAGATGTATACATTCTAAAACTTCATTATAACATTGGGTTCTGTATTCAAGGACTTTTTTTTATCTATCAAGACCCTAAGCAATAACAGGTCATGTACCTGAGATCCTGAGAATGAGATGGAAAGGCTACTGGAATTCAAGCCTTGTTGGGTATAAACCATGGGTTGATATACCATTAGGGAAGGAGATCCCATGGGAGTTTGAACCTATGAATTTGAATAAAGAAAAAAGTAAAAACATAATTAGTTTTTAATTGCTTTCCTAATATAATCATACTAAGAGGACAAGTTTCCTCTGTAAACATTGCATTTAATGATTATCACTTGAAAGAAATGTTAAATGCTAAATACAAAGGAAAAGAAAAATAGATCTTTGAAGAAGCTAGTAACAATCAAGTGTAAGGAGGAAGTCCCAAGTAATATTTCTTGAAAATCAAGGATGAATTAACTACAAAGTAGTACCTACAAACAAACCTTTGCAAAGGACTTTTCATGAATGGTGCTGGTGGCTCACACAGGTAATCCTAGCTACTTAAGTAGCTGAGATTTAAGGATCAGAGTTCGAAGCCAGCCCATGTGGCCCATGAGACTCGTATCTCCAATAGACTACTCAGAAAACCAGAAGTCGAGCTGTGGCTCAAGTGGTAGAGCACTAGCCTTGAACACAAACAGACTCAGGAAAAGCACCCAGGCCCTGAGTTCAAGCCCCATGACCAGCAAAAAAAAAGAAAGAAAGAAGGAGGACTTTTGTTTTGTTTTTGTTTGTTTGTTTTTTTGGGTCCAGTCATGGGGCCTGAACTCTGGGCCTGGGCGCTGTCCCTCAGCTCTTCAGCTCAAGTCTAGCGCTCTACCACTTGAGCCACAACGCCACTTCTGGCTTTTTTCTTTTTGTTTATGTGGTGCTGAGGAATCGAACCCAGGGCCTCATGCATGCAAGGCAAGCACTCTACCACTGAGCTACCTTCCCAGCCCCAGAAAAAGTACTTTTTATTTCAGTAACTGAAACTCAGGCTGGCTTCAAACCGCAATCCTCACATCTCAGCCTCCTGAGTAGCTACAATTACAGGTGTGAGCCAGAAGTGCCTGGCCTGTGTCTTTTTAGGATGTACAAAATGCTACTGTAGGGTACTCTACATCGTGAGGTGTGTGTGTGGAGGGTGATGAAATACTTTAATACATGACTTAATAGGGCCAATTAAATGTTAAATGTAAAGGATGTGTAGTATTTGTGAAGTGAAATGAGTGAGAGATAGCAGGCACATCAAGTCAAAGGCATTTATGACTGAAAATTAATGCCCATCAGTTCTTACTTTGACATCTCTAGTTTCTATCAACAGAGGACTACTGAACTCAGATTTTAAAATTCATCCCCAAAATGAAAGGATATTTAAAGAAGAAAACATAAATAAGGTACACAGACTCATTAATAAAAGACTGACCAATAAATGGACCATTAATGAGTGTGTAATCTCTAGACATTGTTTACCAAGCCCAGTGCTTCTTTTTCTAACTACTGGATGTTTTTTGCTGAAGCAATATGGACTTACTCAAGAACTAAATAAACAAAAAACAATCAAATTGACTCATAAACAAAGTTAATGATTAAAGTGTTGACCTGCTGGGCAGTGTCTGGTGATATAATGCAAGGCTATGTTCTTGGTTTTCATCTTTTTTGAGTGTTGGGGGTTGAGACAGAGTCTCATTATATAGCCCAGGTTGGCCTCAAACTTGTGATATTGCTGCCTCAGACTCCTGAGTGCTGGTAACACAAGTTGCAAATGAAAATGCTGTAAATGGTATGTTCATTGAATATGTCAATAACATATACATTGGAACAGGTAATAAATAAAATATAATCACACAATCACACAAG